TACCGTCCCATGAAAAACTTGAATTAATTATATTATTTGATGTCAGATGTTCATAACAAAGGAGTTTTCCACAGTAATACCGAGGGCTTAAAACGTCATTTTCGAGGTTGCGCCGCCTAGACAAACCATTGCTTACAAAAACATTATTAATTTTTTTTTAATTTAAATTTTTGATTTGTGTTTTTTTTCTATAGATAGAAAAGATGACGCTAACTAAATATTTTAAAATTCATTACTATACCTAAAGCGGTTTTAATTTTATTGTGCCAGTCCACGAACCTTTTGATAACCCCTCGTATCCTTTTCCAAAACACAAATATCCTATTTCGTGTGGGGGAAAGGGGGGGGGAGAGATAGGTTCGAACTTCAGTAACAAAATTTTTCTCCAAACACCAACACTTTCCTCTTTTTTAATCTATACTGCGACTTGTCAGTGGAAAGTGGGGGGGGGGGGGAGTGAGGCTAAACCTACGCAGCAATGCTCAATGTCTATACTAAGTATATATTTGTAAAAAAGCCACCCCCCGGTTCCGACACCTATGCTCAAAGGTACGAGTCGAACCTGGACCTGGACAACAGACAAGAGAATTTTTAAAAAGCTAATTGTAGGTAAAATGTGGAATTTTCACGGGGGGTTTGCTCTCTCTTTCTATCTGCTTTTACTAGTAATCATTAATTATTTATGTATAGAAATTTAATTCACATTAAATTTTATTTTCATTATCATTGTACCACAGAATCAAACTCTTTTATTATACCCCTCGCAACAAGTTGCGTGAGGTATAATGTTTTGGACCCATCAGTCAGTCCTTTTTTTTTTTTGGTCAGCGCAACTTCTTATAAACCACTGCACAGAGTTTTGTCGAACTTTCGAGATATTTATAGGAGTCAATGTGTGTCTAGTTTGCACAACACCAGGAAATTCCGAATTCATTTTTTCGGGAATTTCCGCACTTTTACATTTAGATTTTGGCCATGTCTTGATTATAAAGATGAGCAGTTTGTCAGCGCAATTCCTCATAAACCGCTGCACACAATTTCGTCAAACTTTGCAGATATTTAGGACACAATGTGCATAGATGTGCATATAACAAGGAAATTACGATTCCTTTATTTTTTTATGGGAATTTCAGCACTTCGACTCTTGGGGGAGCGTGGGGTATGTTTTCATTCATTGTGCATAAAATTATAAATAACTTTAAATCAAATTATATTAGGTCTAATAAAGCAAATACACAGTATTTATTTAATAATAATTAATCATAAAGATATCAATCTGTTTCAGACGTTTTTCTTAAATTATTTTTATGAGAGTGTTAATATGCATGTTTTATTACCCCCCCCCCCCCCCTCCTATCACAGGAAAATATCTTCAAAAGGTGAATGATTCGTAATAATGCATGCTTTATTATAAATTAAATGAAGTTAAATCATGTAATCATAAATTCTATTTGCAACATTTACAGACAAGAGTAATGTTTAGTTTTGAAAAAATTACTTGCATTTTTTTCAATCAACCCCACTGAGCTTTCAACCTTTGATATTTTCCCTGACCAAATAAAATGATCGGCATGGGCCACGTGTGTCCAAGCATCTTTTACTGTTGAGTTAGCAATGGATTACATGACTTCTGAGATGCATTTTTCAATAAAAGTAAAATAGGATAAATCTTTCGACATTTGCACATCCCTGTAACAAGAGCAGTATATTCAGGTAAATGTTTTATCACTGCGTTTGACGCGTTTTCTCGACCTGCATGGATTGTTGCTATACATGAATGTATTCTGTGTTAGTGTATTTTCTATATTGCAGCAAATGCATTCAAAAATAATTTAATTCTCGGTTTAGTTCTATTTTTTTGTTGAATTCTTACTTTTCAAACATGTATTTGGTCAGTCTATGGACTTCTAAAAACTATGCTATCGGAGATGTGTACATGTCGACAGCCAGGCTAGAAAATCACTCAAGTGAAACAATTCTACAAGGCTATATATAGCAGGTACGGGTGGCCAAAAATCTTCGATAAAATATGGCGGAATCGAAGAAATATGGCGGACAAGGGCGTACAGGAATGTAGTAAGTCGTACAAAGAATTCAAAACTAATGCCTTTTTAAGAGTTCATGTCAGCTTTAAGTAGTAAAAAGAAAGGAAGCAATTCTGAGATTAGAGAGCAATGGACAAAATAGTCTAACAAATGCAAAAAAATATCATTTAAACAATTAAGAAGTAAGTAAATGAAAATGAGTTCATAGAAAAAGTATAGACGAGTTTTTAGAAGTTAAATACATGTTATGTTATTTTAAGAGTTGTTGTAAAATGTGCTTTATAAATAATAATTAATTTCATTTCAACATGTAATGGTAACAATCCTCTGTTTAAACTAATGTCAAAATAACTCTATCTCACTTCTATTCTCAATGACCGTGTAGTGTAGGGCAGCCCCGCGAGATTCCCATCGGCATCGAAAGCAAGTTTTTTTGACTTGCCTAGATAACCGAGCGGTCTAGCGCGCTGTTCCTGCACTGCTAGGAAACAGATTCCGAAGGTCGAGAGAGTTGAACCCCGGTCTGGGGCGGAAGTGGGTTTAAAAAAAATATATATATATATATATATATATATATATATATATATATATATATATATATATATATATATATATATATATATATATATATATATATATAAAAAGCACTAAAATACCAACAACACTGTATATCCTAAATGTCGGATCTATCAAGTATATACAAGGTCACGATGGAAATTTATATAATGCACTAAAAATGACCAACGACACGAACAATAAAAATTGTCAAATTTTCGGGACGCCCTGTCCCTTCCTCAGGACAAAGAAAAAAAGTTAAAAAGTCATAAGAACAAAGGAAAAATAGAAACAAAAACAACTAGCACTACTACTAAGCTACTAAACACTAGATATTTACATACTTAATAAATTACATGTTGAATTCGAAATTTTTAAGAACAATAATAAAGAAAGAAATCCGGACCGCTATGAAATGCGTCCGGTATATCGGGTATACTCGGGTGAAGTGCGATTTACATAATTGAACGAATTAATTATGCTAATTAATTACGACAATCAGTAAATCGTACATTGTTTCATTCTCTCAAAATGGCGTAACTTTACTTAATAAAGAATAATCAAAGAAAAATAAGATGGCAGGGATATTTAAACATATGAATTATGATCCATTATAAATTTTGAAATATTTAAAGACTTAATACCGGGAAAAAATAATTAACAAAGGCGAAAGCAATACATAGCTATGTGGGTTGTTCGAGAGTTGGTGACGCAAATTGACTGTAGAGTTTACACTAAATTGAGAGAATAATCTTGTTTAGTATCGTCAGGAATTGGGTCTAGTTTACGTTCATTCTGGTGAAGTCATTTAGTTTGTTAATACCATTAGGGCGGAATGACTTCAATCTGTGCATCCAGAACTTTTCTTTGCTTTTTCTCTGAGCATCTGTCCATCTTGGGTTATGGTCAATCACCACTACTGTCATATCCTCCCATTTGTGACCCTCAAGGTTGAAATGTTCCCCAACGGGTTCATAGAGTTTTTTGGTCCTAATGGTCGAACGGTGGTTATTGACTCTCCTGCGGAGATCTCCTGTTTCACCAATATACTGTTTGGAGCAAACTTTGCAACTGATGAGATAAATGCAGTTGTCAGTATGACAGGACAAATTCCCTAGTATTTTGTATCTGCGGCCTGTAACGGGGCTGTTAAAACTGTCTGTGTCAGTACTGTGCTTACAAAGAAGACATCTTCTGTCAGAGCAAGTTTTAAAGCCCCCGTTAGGTAATGGGTTGTCCAGTCTGGTTCTTACTACCATGTCCTTCAGGTTCCTTGGGCGTCTGTATGCAGCCAATGGGGGTTCCTTAAAGACCTCTGCCATTCGTTTGTTTGAATGGAGAATTGGTAGGTTCTTTTGAAGGATACCGCTAAGGTTCTTAAGGACGGGATGGTATGTGGTTACCAGAGGGACCCTACCGCTATTGTCTTTCTCCTTGTAGCGTAATAGGTTTTGCCTGTCATGTCCTGCCATCTCATCAATAGCTGTTAATAATTAATTCGTTCAATTATGTAAATCGCACTTCACCCGAGTATACCCGATATACCGGACGCATTTCATAGCGGTCCGGATTTCTTTATTATTGTTCTTAAAAATTTCGAATTCAACATGTAATTTATTAAGTATGTAAATATCTAGTGTTTAGTAGCTTAGTAGTAGTGCTAGTTGTTTTTGTTTCTATTTTTCCTTTGTTCTTATGACTTTTTAACTTTTTTTTCTTTGTCCTGAGGAAGGGACAGGGCGTCCCGAAAATTTGACAATTTTTATTGTTCGTGTCGTTGGTCATTTTTAGTGCTTTATATATATATATATATATATATATATATATATATATATATATATATATATATATATATAAAAAAGGTAAAAAAGAAAACACAAAAATCCTCAGTTAAGCTTTAGCGCTTTCATTTTTCAATCTTCAGAAGCTTACAATAGTATCATAGTAACAGTGATTATGACGTCATGTTAAGCGGAACGTTAAATGTCTATTATGACGTCATAGATACAATATGACAAAAGTACGAGGAAATCACAAGTAATTTATAAAACACTATTAAGTTTTGGTTGAAAAATACTAGTAAAATGTTTTTCTTTTTCCCGTCTCTGGATATCAGTGGCACAACTGAGTTTATAGAAAGGGAAAATTTTGAATTGTTTTTTACCACACGCTTCCAGGTGCGAACTTAATTGAATTTGTCTGTATTCGGGTGTACTAATGTGTTGCTTATGTACACGTACACGGGCACGGAGAGTGTTGCCGGTTTCACCAATATAATATTCCTTGCATCCAGGACATGTGATGACATAAAAGCCAATTCGGGGAGAACCAGTAGAACAAACAAATGTTAGAATTGAGACAGCTAAGAACCGTGTGATAGGGGAAATACAGCTACTCAGGATGAGGGCAGAAAACAACCATAAAAAAGTTATGTCCATTGACCTAGAAATGGAACGCATACTGAAAACTAAAGCATATGGCAGAATATTAGAAATACTTCAAGATATGTGGAAATCTGAATGCCTAAAGGAGGAACAAATCTCATACAACAGATGGAGATATACAGAAACCTGGCTTTTGGATTATGAAAAGAATTACGGTAAGGAACTTACTAAACCCAAAAACACAAGACTACAGCAATTGTCCAACAGACAAGTTTCTAGGAAAAGTTACGCGTCCGCCGTTAGAAACAACTCAACGAATAATTCTACAGAAACTGTGGATCTTCCTATGGAAAATGCAACAAAAGCAATGAATACATTTTCGGGGAAACGAAAATATAAAAGGATGAATCAACAGGAGAACTCTAAACACATGAGTTACAGTTCTCGTTCAACCATTTCACAAAACCGACCATTTCCTAAGCAGCACAGAGACATACAGAATCGGGACAATAACGGTAAGCATAAAAATCACCGAGGAAATGGTACAAATAAACAACCACCAAACTTTTACAGAAACGAAAAAACAACATACATCGGAAGAGGGGTACACAAGTATTTTTTTAGGAGGAGGCAAAATGAACCAAGGTCAAAGATACAAAAATCAAATGCCACAATTATAAGTGACAGCAATGCCGGGGACACGTCCAAGAATGTAATTAAGATGGAACCAAAAATATTTAATCTTTCCCATAGACAACTAACGGATTCCGAAATCAAGTTACTGTCTAAGGGTCTAAAATACACACCTACGCCTCAAGTAAATAATCAAGAGCTTAAAACGGATATAAAAGCTTATACCCGGCGACTCAGGCTACGTGAATATTTTCATGACAGTGATACCAGTGAATCTGATTCCGAGTCTACAGACGCAAAAGAAACAGACCTTGTAAGAAACAAATCCAAGTTTAACCCAAAACGAGGAAGAAATAAAACTTTGGATGCTGTTTGCGACACATTGGAAAATATTCACTTCCCAAATAAACCCAGGACTATTAAACCAAACCTTTCTAAGGAAGAAGAAAAGGCTCTTAAAAACCTCAGCGATGACCCTACCATCATAATCAAAGAGGCCGATAAAGGAGGCGGAGTCGTCCTTATGAATAAGGATTTTTACAAAAGTAAAATTTTACAAATGTTGCAAGACAATAATTTTTATGAAAAATTGCGCAACTGTCATGAGAAGAAAACAATTACAAAAATAAAAAACTTAGTATATGGACCACTATCTGAGGGTTTAACAGATAAGGAAAAGGACTACCTGACAAACTTTGAATTCCGAGAGAGTCAATTCTATGGTTTACCTAAAGTGCACAAGTCTAAAATTATAAAGGATGCCATAAAAGAGCAAAATAGTATATGTATAACATGTGCTGATCCCGCTGATTTAAGCTTCAGACCAATTGTAGGAGGACCGAACTCTTCAACGCAAAGACTGAGTCATTTATTGGATATACTTTTAAAACCATATTGTCAAAAAGTACCCAGCTTTGTGAGAGACGATCTTGATTTTATAAATCATTTACCTACTCATGTCACCTCTAACACCAAACTTGTCACACTGGATGTTGTAAGTGTGTATACAAATATTCCTACAGAATTGGGATTGCTAGCTGTCAAATTCTGGACTGAAAATTATCCCGATGTTCTAAACAACAGGTTTCAGCGGGACTTCATCCTAGAGGCTCTAAAATTAGTTCTAGATAACAATACGTTTGAGTTTGCAGACCATCATTACCTCCAAATTAAGGGAACAGCAATGGGGACAAAAGTCGCACCTACCTATGCAACATTAACCCTTGGTTATCTAGAACATAAATTACATGATCAACTGTGTACGTTGTGGGGGATAGAATCTGCAAACAAAATACGGTCTAAATGGAAAAGATTTTTAGACGATTGTTTTATCTTATGGGAGGAGGATGTCGATAAACTAACGGGGTTTTATGATCTACTTAACCAAATGAATTCGGATATCAAATTCACGATGGAAACAGATGATTTGCAAATGCCATTCCTCGATGTTCTTGTAACAAAGGATAATACCAGCTTAAATACGGATATTTACTATAAACCAACCGACACACACCAATATCTGCATTTTGGATCAAGCCATCCCCATCACACTAAAACAGCTATACCATATAACCTCGCAAGAAGAATATGCACCATTGTGAGTAATACCAATATCAGGGATATTCGACTGGAGGAATTAAAATTGTATTTATTAAACCAAAAATATCCAGAACAACTTGTAGATAATGGTATAAAGAAAGCCAAGGAGTGCGATAGAAGTCAGTTACTTTTAAACATACGACGTGCGAATGACGTTGAAATAATTCCATTTGTGCACACGCATAACCCGAGAAATCAAAACGTGAGTTCAATTATTCATGAATTAAACAACGTACTTAGAGAGGACGAACAAACGAAAAACGTATACAAGAATTGTCGTTTTATCAACAGTAAACGCCAACCGAAAAACCTAAAGAGAATACTTTGTTCTTCCAAATTCAACGACCATACTTATACAGTCTCTAAGTGTAAGAACCCTCGATGCGGTACATGTGAATACATTACAGAAGGGACCAGCTATAATTTCAATGGACGTGAATTTAGAGTTAAAGAAAACATGTCATGCGATACAAAAAATGTCATTTATGTCATCACATGTCCTGGATGCAAGGAATATTATATTGGTGAAACCGGCAACACTCTCCGTGCCCGTGTACGTGTACATAAGCAACACATTAGTACACCCGAATACAGACAAATTCAATTAAGTTCGCACCTGGAAGCGTGTGGTAAAAAACAATTCAAAATTTTCCCTTTCTATAAACTCAGTTGTGCCACTGATATCCAGAGACGGGAAAAAGAAAAACATTTTATTAGTATTTTTCAACCAAAACTTAATAGTGTTTTATAAATCTATGACGTCATAATAGACATTTAACGTTCCGCTTAACATGACGTCATAATCACTGTTACTATGATACTATTGTAAGCTTCTGAAGATTGAAAAATGAAAGCGCTAAAGCTTAACTGAGGATTTTTGTGTTTTCTTTTTTACCTTTTTTTAAATATTGTTATCCGATTACTGAGACATTATTTAAATTTTGGATATATATATATATATATATATATATATATATATATATATATATATATATATATATATATATATGATCAAGAGTTTGGAAAATATGATCACATTTTACTCCAAAGGGCTTTCGCCATTCAGCTCTTCAGTGGAATTTGAATACATATATATAAGGGATGTACTATTTAAATCGATAAAGAAGTAGAAGTGAAATATTCAAGCTCAAAAGTCTATTAAACAATATATATTTTTGAGCAGATCAAATACGGACGTCTAAACCATCAGAGGTGGGATCAGGTGTGTGCTCCTTGCCACAATCGAAAAAAAATCCGTCAACAATTCAATGTGTAAATCAAACAATTTGCATTACAGGAAAAAGATACAGAGGATACATTTGTTAATGTTAAAGACATCATTGATGTAGAAGAAATGGATAATTTATAAAGATATTTTGTTAAAATTGAACAAGAATTATTATAGGCTTTTGATAGAGTATGACATGGATACTTATTAAGTCATGTTTTAGATACATTGGGCCGTTCCAAGTTTTTTCTCTGTTTAGCGTCCACTCATCTTTCAAAAACCTACCTACCTATTCACAAAAAAAAAAAACACAAGCCAAAACATAAAACACAAGCTTTAAAGTCATAAAAATGACGTCCTTCAAATGATTTGATCTAACTAAACTGCTTTAATAGAAGAAATATCTATTCTTTATCAAAAACAAAAGATTAATTGCTTACAATACATCCAATATCACTTTCTGTACAGAATTATTCGGAGAAATTTACAAAACTCAAAAATTTCGACTAAATTTATCAATATCAGGACTACTGTTGTTGTGTGTTTTTTCTCATAAGGGGTGTCAAAAACCAAGGCGCACGCGGATGCTAAACATAGAAAAAACTTGGAATGGCCTTGGGTATTGGACCTTCTTTCAAGAAGTCGATAAAGATTTTTTATGATATTTTAGTGGTGTATGTAATGAGTTTTGACATTGATTTATTTTACCTATCAAAAAATTTAGTCAGAAAACGTTTTCCATTTTTATATCACCTGATCATGAGTCACTCAGGTGACTTATTGCCATCCGTGTTTGTCCGTCGGCGTCCGTCGTCCGTCGTTCGTCGTGTGTTAACATTTGTATATTTTCAGCTTCTTCTCTGAAACAGTTAAACCAATTTCAACCAAATTTTGTATACATCATCTGTGGGTGAAGAGGAACAAAAATTGTGAATTTCATGGTCCATGCCCCCCTGGGGCCTGAGGGGTGGGGCCAAAACCACTAAAATTAATGCAATCTTTAAAAATCTTCTTCTTTACTCCTGGACATCAAGCAGTCAAACTGTTTGCATGATTGTAATCAGCAATGAGTCCTCTACCAAAATTGTGAAATTCATGGCCCTTGGGTCAGGGGTTCTAGTGCTAGGGCGGAGCTGAATAAGTAGGTAGTGAAAATGCATTATTTCTTTGAAAATCTTCTTCTCTGCTCCTGGGTATTATATAAACTAACTAAGTACATAGTTATGATGAGCAAGAGTGCCTCTACCAAAATTGTGAATTTTATGGCCCCAGGGTCAGGGGTTCTGGTGTTAGGGCGGGGCTCTATTGATTTAATCAATATATAGTGAAAATACATGAATTCTTTGAAAATCTTCTTCTCTGCTCCGGGGTATTAAACAAACTAAGTACATGTACATAGTTATGATGAGCAAAAGTGCCTCTGCCAAAATTGTGAATTTTATGGCCCCAGGGTCGGGGGTTCTTGTTTTAGGGTGGGGCTCTAATGATTATATAGTGAAATGCATGAATTCTTTGAAAATCTTCTTCTCTGCTCCTGGTTAATATACTAATGATCTAATTATATATTTAAGGTCAGAATTTATTTTATTTTCAGTTTTGAAAAAAAAATCTGTGCCACAAACCCTCCGCTCAAGGTTTTGAATTTTCAGAAAAAAAAATCTTTCCGATGTCAAATTTGAGTCGGGATCGAGATTTCAAATTTACGAACTCGCACTTCCGGTTTTACGATGAAACGGCAATCGGCAATCCTCGGCTGACTCCGCTACGCTCCATTCAAATCTCGGATGTGATAGGTGGAGGAATACGCATCAGATCGCTACATTTCTCCCCCGGAAACTGCCTTGTCACTCATTTCATATTTCGCTCTGCCTTAAGTTCTTAGAGAAGGTTTCTTTATTAGTGTAATTCCTCGTGTTAATTACAACCAAATGTTAATATTCTTTGAAAGCAAGAACACAGTGTTAGGCGTGCATCAAAGTAACTCGGATTTAAAAAGTATAATATTTGAATGAAATTCAAATAAGATCACATGACTGAATAAGCAAGATGGAAGATCACCGTTGACGTACGAGGTTATGTGCGAGGTACGAGTCATCCGAGGAACTCCGATTGATGAAACGGCGGGTGGATCTGAGAAGCTTGGTTTAGTGTAAAATTCATCGATAAGAGTGCCATTTAAAACGTTTCACCCGTTCAAAGGACAAATTAAATGCTGACGACTTTGTTGCACAATGACATGCTGGTGAGATAATTATGTATTCGTTTCAAAAGTATCTGTCTGTAAATTATTTTCCTCCCCCAGGTTTTAAATTGCCCGTGGTAGCTATTGCATATTGCCAGCGACATTGTTTAGGTTTCTGTTATAGCTTACAGTCTAAGCATCATTCATCAGAAAAGGGTTGCTTATGCATCAGATGTAATGAATAAAACTATGGGAGAAGTCCATCTGAGGAAGAAATAAACAATAATCTGAAGAAATAAAAAAAATTCAACTATTAAAATGCAAGAATATACAAATATATACAGGCATGTAGTATCGTTTGTAATAGCCAGAAAAATTATTTCACACTTAATTGAAAAAATGTTGACCCTACTCCCCAATACGCTCTGTCTGTTTTATGATAGGAATTATAATTTTAGGCATCAAGTATATTTTAGAACAATGTCTACAGTCTACACATTCACCTAACACATATTCAAAAAATGAAGATATATTGAAAGACTTTTAAAGAATTGATTTTTTAAAATATATTTTGATCAACATCACAAAATTTATATAACTGGCCCAAACTGGCAGATGATGAAATGTTCTACTTTCCTGTTTGTAAGCATTATGTGTCCAGTGGTAAGGAGCCTCTTAGGATAGCATAAAAAAAGAATGTAGAAATGTTAATAATTGATTTATCAAAATTTTTTTTTATTTCCTTCTCCTTCGGGACTTTTTTATTCTCATGTTCATAACTAAACCTAAACATAAAAAAATGCTGGCCTTATAATGAAGAAAGGGGCCTCTTTCAAAATAGACAATTTCAGGGCCGGTGGGTCAGGGGTACCAGGGGGGTACTTTGACTAAAAATAAATTAATGCTTTAAAATCTGCCCTTTGATAAGCAATGGTGCCTCTTTCAAAATTTGTGAATTTCATGGCTTTTGGATTAAAACACGAACCAACAATCGCTGGAAAGTTGTTACATGATACTCAGGTGACTTATAAGGCCCGTGGGCCTCTTGTCTTCTTTGTTATATGTTTTATCAGCATATCCTTTTTATCATGCAAATAAATGTAATTCAAGTATATTAATATCAATGTCACAAAAGTTGCTTTAATGTTTCAAGATGCTGATGGTGCAACTATGGTGGTATCACATACAAATTCTGTTAAACGTTTTTGAATTAAATGGGCATGTATTAAGTGTTAGAATTGATGTTCAAAAGTCTGATAAAAGTGTACATAGGTTCAGGTTGTTTATCCAATCATGTCAAAAAGAACATTTAAATTTATAAAAATACTTGTTATATATGAAAAGGAATGTTAAATCTTTGAATTGAAAAGATGGAAACAAAGATAATGAACAGTTATACTTTGTTAAATTTATGTCCAAATGAGCTAAAAATACTGTACAAAAAGAATATACAAACTTCATATTGAACTTTGATGCACACTATTAAAAATATCCTTTCTGTTAATTATAGAAATCAAATAAAAATACTTTATAAAATTTTATTCCTCCATAATCCAAGATTCATGGGTATATAGTTTTTTCCTGTAAATTTTTCTGTTAATCTATTTAGCAGTTTGTCTGCAAAAACTTTAACCTTGCTTATATTTTTTGACTGGGTAGGGGCTATGGCTTTCATTTTACACACGTGTCTTCATTGTGACAAGATCTTTCTTTAGGTACCACCAAATTTGACATCTTGAATTTGGAATTTGGCCCTCTTTTACAAAAGAAATACCAAACTTTATCCTTGACCATAACCTTTGATTAAAGTGAAAAACCATCCTCTTGATATATCAGCAACTTTGACCTTTTGATATTGACAGAGCTGTTTGACTTGCATTTGAAAAACTTAAACTTCCGCCATAGTCTGCCATTGATCAGTGTTCCACTGACACATTTTGAAATTTTTTAGAAATCTTAATGAAAAATCAGATGTAAGAATACTTTATATTTAGAACTGGACGGAATGTTTTTCTTAAATTACTTGTCGAAAAAATGAAACATAAAGAATTTAATACGTTTTCTGCAAATTTCTTTTTGTACCTGTGCAGACTAAGTATTTACAAAAAAGGCAAATGTTCATTAAAAGTCAATAAATGTTGAAAACTTCATATGTATCTCTTATTTCATATAATCATTATCAATTGTGTGTCAAAGAAAACAGATAGGATGTGATTCACAATCAGTTTTACTGAGTATACAAAATTTTCCATCAAAGGAAACAGAGGGATGTTGTTATGTATTTTGTGAATTATTTCTTGTTCTTAGACTGACTTTTTATTTATTTTATTTTATTTTTTATTTTTTGCATGCGAAAATAGAGAGTTATTAATTACCATGAAGATAGGAAAATTTGCAATTAAAATTTTGAGTTAAAAAAGCCAATGATTTATTTAAAAATAACTGAAAGATTACTGAACGGCCACTGAAATGTACGTACCTACCACGTGAAAGGGTCTTTTTAGAGGGCAAAAATTCAGTAACCATTAGTAGTATTGTAGAGTAGGATTTCCTACATAGCCAGCTTTCCCCCCGAAAATCGTACTCTAGAGTAGGATTTCCCACCTAGGGGAAACATCAGAGGCAAATTCCCCACTCTTTTCTTCTCAGAGTAGGATTTCCCCCGTCGTTAAAGAGTCTTTATCAACTACACTCGCAATATTTTTGTGTAAAAAAGATAAACGACAAACTGATTTCTGAAAGGTAAATGAGTGTTTTTCGATCCCTATTGTAAAAATTTTCTGGGTATGTATTTCAAATCATGGAATCTCAACCAAAATATATAGCTTTCAAATATATATCTTCAACTTAAATGAAAATATTCTCGAAATATGATGAAACAAGGAAAAAAAATGGATGTCTGGATTAGTATACATTTTTGGATCTATTTTGGTTGGACCTATGTAATTATATAAATAAACTTTCTAAAATATTAAGAAATTGTAAACTTTCTATGATATTCAAATTTCCACCTTTCTGTAACCATCTTTATTAATCTATACAATTTGTTGTCATATTAAATCTCCTTAAATCCCATTTTTGTGAAACTTAATGAAAAATTAAAAATTGTGCGATTAAAATTGTTTATTCTAATTAAATTAGGACTTAAGATCAAAGCAATATTCTCTTTCTCTTTAATGTTTGTACGAGAAAGTTTAAGTATGGAATGAAAATTACAAAAGTTTTAAAATAATAATTTTTTTTGGACTTGGGTGAAACTATGAACATATCTCTAGATGTCTTTCTGTCAATAATTATATTTTGCTAAGTAAAACACTTAAAAGGATGATAGGTTAGCTGCATAGTATTATCAGTGTTGAAAAAAATCGTGAACAAGGACAGTAGCCAAGAAATATCGGATTTAAAATTTTCATGTTTATTTTTCGTATACGTATGTTCAATACATCCGGTCACCATTTGAAGAAGGGACACTTGTTGCAATGTGTAAACTATTCCTCCTCAAAAATAAGTAGAACAATTATATTGCATTTGGTGGAAGTTTGGCTATGGGGGGAATCGCAATCTGTAGCTGCTACACAGAGTTGGATCCCCCCCCCCCGGAAAATGGCTCTGGTGTTGGATTTCCGTAGGGGAAATCCTACTCTAGAGCCAGTTTTCCGGGGGGAAAGTCTACTCTAGAGCCAGTTTTCCGGGGGGAAAGACCTAGAGGAAAGCCTATTCTACAAAACTAGTGATTTCGGTGACTTAAAACACGTAAACGACGCGAAAATTAAAGTTTAATTTTCTCATATTGTTTTGTTTTTTAAAGAAAGATTAATGAAGCATGTACCTGTACTGTTTATTAAACTATGAATTATTGCAATCTTTTAATAATTTAATTTATTTTTAGTATTCCTTTTAATACACGTATCTCAATTTTTAAAGAGGGAAATTTCTTTATCAAAAATGATCAATAAAGCAGTGCAGGTAGATTATTTCATCGTTGACTGGTAGAAAATGTGGCGGTTGTTGTCTTTCGTGGCAATTTTTCTACCGATAGCAACTTTTGAGGTAAATCATTTCTTGAAAAAATATTTTAAACAACAGAATATGAATTGTTTTTACCAATATGAAATTTTCTTTTTTTTTTTTTTTAGATTAATAATGAAGTATGTAACACTACTGCGTTAAGTTATGATTTTATAACATGTCGGGATCTTTTCGGAAAAGGAATAGACTTTAATGCATTGCCAACTGGAACATCATGTGAACTTACAGATAAAAGTGGAAAATTGATGAAATATGTGACATGCACGTCAAAAGGATGGTCAGATGCAGAAATCAACAGTAAGTTTTCAGATTGTTCACAGAAACATCAAATTGGGTGTATTAAATCATAAAGTATATTATTCATAATTCTATTAAATCTAATATCCTTTGGTTTAAAGATGTACATGAGGGAAACAAATCCCACGTTAGCAGAAATGGCAGACAGAAACGCTTTCTTGGGTTTTTTCGTAGGATTTTCCACGCCATTGGATGTTTTTTCTTTGGCTGTCATCGTCGGCCACGTAAGTCATTTGCCTTGTCCGACTAGATCATCAAATCATCTAAAAATTAAATGCATGAATCTTAGCTCTTTAAATATAGGAGACAAAACACCTCCATCTATGGCTGGAGTTTGTAATGGAGATATACACAAAAATGCTGACAAATATCAAGTTAATACCCAAGTCTGGTGGCCTGAACACCCTGCAAGTGATGATTTTGACGGAAGTGTCTCGTATGTAATTTGACGTTAAAAGCAGTATTAGCAAGACTGAATTTTCTGTTAATAAGATGAGTTAATTTTTTTGAGAAATCATTGTAAATTTTTTCATTGATAGGTATTTTTAATTAGTTTGTAATTGTGTTTAAAATGAATTTATTTTGATTTTAGTACAAGAATGCGCCGTGGATATCCACCTGGCCATTATTTCTCGGGGGAAACGGAAATTGCCTATACAGCACAAGATCGATCTGGAAACATGAACTCTTGTTCTTTTCGTGTTATAGTAAAGGGTTCGTATGATGTTTAAGTTCTTACAGAGTACATTTCATAAAGCAAGACTTTGAATAAAAGTATTAACATCTTTAAATTATTTCAATTTCTTTTCTACGCAGTTATTCGATGTCCTACAATTCCCCATGTACAAGATGGTTATTATATATGTCATCCTAGCGAAGACATGATTTATGGGGCTGTTTGCAGATTCGGCTGCTACGCTGGACACGAACTATCGGGAGGAAATAAAGAAATTGCGTGTACAAAGTCAGGAACGTGGTCTGGAATGATTCCTCATTGCCAAAGTAATATTTCTTGAAAATTGATATTTAGTAAAATCTTTAATTCAATATATGTTGTGGTCAATGTTCGTGGACAAGCAAAATTTTATTTATTCTTAAGGACGTCATTTCCGGGTTCCTTGTTTAAACAATAATGTGTGTACCACATAAACGTGCGTAGGGGGAGTAAATTCGTGGGTAAGGGTGACCCATGAAATTGGATACTTTGTTCTACAATAGGATTGTATGCTGAATGTTGGTAAAATAAACTAAATAAAAGATATGTGATTATTATGGTTTGTAGAGATAAAATGCCCACGTTTCACACCATCTACAAATTCCTTACGTTATACATGTACTGATGAATTCAACTTTAGAAGTATATGCACATATAGTTGCCCAGAAGGGTATGATATTACAAATGGGATGTCACGTGTGCGCGTTTGTACACAATATAAAACATGGAGGGGCAGCCAACCTAAATGCACAGGTATGTTTATTTCCTTTAATGAAAGTATGAAAATTGTGAGCAATTCATAAACTGAACCATATATTTTATATTGTTATATAGTTATACGTATAACTTTGATTTGCATTACGTTTTCTATTTGGTTTAAATGACAGATACTGAACCCCCAAAGTTTTCAATGTGTCCTGGAACTGTTTATGCTTATTCGGCAAGAAATTCCTTAGAAGGCCAAGGCATATGGACAGAACCTACTGCAAAGGATAATCACGATAAGGTTATCAAAGTTAAAAGATCAGGAAAAATATTCCCTGGCAAAACAATATCTGCAGGTACTTACACAATAAGTTACAATGCAGAGGATTCGACAGGAAACAAGGCTTATCCATGCATTACAAAAATTGTTATGAAAGGTGAATAAAACACTCTTTTTATCAAAGATAAAAATCAGAAAAAAAGTATTTTCTTTATTATTAATGTTTACTTTTTATTTCTTTATTGATAGTTATCAGATGTCCAAATATTTATCCAACCCCATTCCAGAATGTACTGTGCCCTTCGGGAACAAAGTATGGAAGCTCTTGTCATTTTTCATGTGACATGGGGACCACAATTAATGGAACAAACAATGTTGTTTGTGAGAGAAAAAATGGCAAGCCTTATGGGTATTGGACATGGGGAAGTAATCAACCTTACTGTGAGGGTAGGAATTTCCTGAATGTTTGGTTTTAAACACGGTATAAATGCAACTGTTTAACCTTTAGGTACCACAATCTCGACTGAGCTGCCCAGTGTAAATGACCCGTTATTATGTATTGGAATAGACTAATGTAGAACAATGAGAAATGTACTATTTTATTGATATGAGTTCTTTATTTTTTGGCAACCCTCTGTAGAAAAGGAATATAGAAGTTGATGGCATAGCTGTTAAAAGAAATTTGAAATTTTGTCTTAATGTAGTTTTTTTGGAATGATAATTTGAGCGAGAGTGTGTATATGTGTGTGCATGATTCTCTTTGGATTTATAAAGGAAGCCTAGCTCACCTACATTTCAATTAAGATTTTCTCATGTATAATTTTAAATCCTTTTACTTCATTTAGTTATACAAAAATGTGCAAAAACACCAAACGTTCCAGACCATGGTGCATTAGCATGTGATAATTGGCTTGGAGGACAGTTTTGTCAAATGCTATGCAGAAGCGGTTATGATGTTTCGCCTGGTAGGGACTTTGAAGAAATGTTAGTGTGTGGAGAAAGCGGCGAGTGGCTACCAAAGTCTGCACTTCCCCTTCCACCTTGTTCAAGTATGTAAACAAACATTTTAGGCCCAAACTACTAATCTTTTCATATGTCTTCTTCTGAAAATAAATCTTTTCATTTTCAAGGGAATAGATTTTCAAGAGGTGGCTATTTAAGGATGTCCGCTAACTATTACTTTGATGGTGACTGTACTGAACCAAAGACCATTGAGGAAATTAAAAAGAAGTTCATTCAGACACTTAACTCATCAACACTTTATGAATCCGCATGTTCACTTTCAGGAGACAAATGCAGTGTTGAAAATGTTCAGGTAGCTAAAAATGACATTGGATTCTGCTTTTTGTAGTTTGTTTTTGTTTTTATTTTAGGTTAATGATGGCTCTTTTAACTACTGTGTTTCTAGGTACGATGTGATAATAATACAAGACGAAAGCGATCTTTGGAGATGATGATTAACTTTGATGTAGCATTTAAAGTTAATAACATTTCAATAGAATCTTTGAGTCGACTGCAACAAAACCTAATGTCATCTTTGAAAGAGTCTCAAATGAAAGGGGAGCTTGATATTTTTCTGAATTCCACCGGTGTTATGCGCATGCAAAGCATAGATCATGGAAAAATCCAACTTCTGTGCCCAACTGGAACTATTGCATCATACCATACATGGTCCTGTCGTAAGTTTATAAAAAAAAAAAATGACAATGCAATAATGTTAGTAAAACGTAAGCGTTTTCATTATTTTCTTCAGACGTTTATATTATATATATATATATATATATATATATATATATATATATATATATATATATATATATATATATATCTTCTGATAAATTATTCAATATTACCAGTGGAATGCAGTCCCGGAACGTTCTACGACAATGCCACACAAACATGTCCGCAGTGTAAAAAAGGATTTTTTCAAGATAAAGAAGGTCAGAATTCCTGCATTAAGTGCCCAAGCAATAGAAAAACTAAGTCAATAGGATCAAAAAGCATCAACGAGTGCACTGGTAAAACTTAGCATCTTTTTTCATATATATTTAGCAATTCATTTTTACTTAGCATGCTTACCAATTTCATTTTTCACTTAATACTTTTTTTGGTTAAAACAGATGCTTGCGAGCCTGGAAGTTTTTCCTCAGATGGAACCCCACCGTGTTCTTTATGTCCCGTTGGTACATACTCCTCCATATTTGGAGCTACTGTTTGCATTTCTTGTCCCTATTCTCTTTCAACTGAAAATGAGGGTGCGGATGATGTCTCACAATGTAAAGGTATTGACATTGTTGTTTAACATACACTTAGGCATATATAAACAATTATGCTTTATAAATAAAATTTTTTAAAAGCATTGTTTTATTTTGTTTTATTTTTTTTAGAATTTGATCTCTGGTTATCTGAAAATAGGAGTATGGCGTCTTTGGACTTTCAAGCAACCAACAACTACAAAAGTTTCATTTTTTCATTCTGGCTACAAAGAGACATCCAATCGTTATTTATTTATACTTTGACTGACATTAAGAATAGCACCAGAATACAAATCAGTATCAATAAAGAAAACATTTCACTGTTTACAATAAGGTTTGTTATTATCTTGTAATTGTAACTTCAAATTTGTTTTTTTTTTTGTGTGTGTGTAATTATTGTGTCTAAAATTATTACAATTTTATATTTTAAAAAGTTTCATTTCTACAGTAAATCCGAAAATATGTCGATTGCAATGGACAAAGAATGGCATTACCTTCTGATAAAAGCCGGTGATTCAGCTTTAGAAATGTACATTGACAATGACATAAAATATAGAGTGGATAATGGGTTCACGTTCATGGACAACGAAAGCTATGATGTGAAATTTCATGGTTTGTAAATCGAGACAAAACCACGAGAAATTGTTTATTCGATTAAGCATCAGATACTAGTAATTTATTCGTACGCAGGCTATGGATACGTTTATCTCTGTTGTGGAATAAAATTTTGTTTTAATGTTAAGTATTTTTATGCAATTTAGGCAAAGGAAAAGTCTCCCAGTTTAATATATGGTCAAATAACACCGAAAATACCAACCCTTCATTGTTAGAGAGTGTAAAGAAAAGATCCTGCTTTCTCCATAATGTTGGAGATATTCTTTCATGGAAACAATTCGAAAACACACATTTTGAGAGGACATTCAAACAAATTCCGAGTGAATGTGATGGTTAGCTTTATTTCTTTATAATTTTATGTATCTGACACATTTTTAATTTAACTTTAAGAATACGAGTCTTTATCACTATAAATAAATTAATTTGTAGATCTAGATAGTTGTAAATCTAATCCTTGTATTAACGGAGCCTGCCAGGA